CAATATTAAAAAAAAAAAAAATCTTAAGGCATGTACTGGAAACCAGCATCGCTAAGGGTTCTGAGTGGTGAGGTTTGAGTGAGAGAGGGTTGGGGATGAAAAACAGAGAAAATGAGAAATAAGACAAAAGCAAGAGCTGGACCAAGAGTCTTAATGGGATACATCTGGCCTCCTTGGGCACCTGTACTCACATGGACATACACACACACACACACACACACCTATATATAACTAAAAAGAATAAAAAACACTTAAGAAAAGAATCTGGAGTGGTAAGAAGGAAACCCAAAAGTCACTTACTCTGATCACAGTGTGCTGGAGGCACATGGAGGCATCTGCAGGACCCAACTGGTACGTTATGTAGAACTGCCTCAAAATCAGAAAGTCCCACCTCCGAGGTCTGGTGTTATCTCCTAAGTCTGATATAGGAATGTATTGAGGAGTCAGAGAAAAGGCTCAGTGTTAAGAGCATGGGTGGCTCTTCCAGAGGACCTACCTAGGTTGGGTCCCCAATGCCAACATGATAGATTACAACTGTCTGTAACTCCAGTTCCAGGAGGATCTAGTGCCCTCTTCTGGCCTAATTGGGCACCAGACTCAAGTAGATACACCCAGGAAAATCTGGGATCCCAGGTGGTAAGAAGAGTTAAAATTCTTTTGTTGTTGTTATGCTAATAAAAACAGTAACAGTGGGCTGGGACCAACGGTGCAGGCCTGTAGTCCCGGCATTCAGGAGGCAGGAGGATTGTTGTGAGTTCAAGGTTATACAGCAAGGTTCTCTCTCAAGCCAAAAATAAAAGTAGTAACAGGAAATATAAAAGGCACTAAACATTCAAGTCGTTTTTATCCCCTCTGCCTTTTACCCAAATCTCTACCCCTTCCCTTCTGTAAAACCCCTGTGCAATTACATTGTTTTCAGTTGTTGCTGTTTTAATGTGTATGGGAGTTTTGCCTGGTGCGTTTGGTACTGTTTGTGTTTGTTGCCCTTGAAGGCTAGCAGAGGGGCTGGGTCCTATGAAACTGGAGTTGCAGAGTGAGCTGCCATGTGGGTGCTGGGAATAGAAACCAGGTCCTCTGGAAGAGCAGCCTGCCCTTAATCTCTGAGCATCTCTCCAGCCCCAGCTCACCCTGTTGAAACTTATAAACACCTGGAAATGATAAAAATGTGAGTCAATCAGGAGCCAGGTCTATACTGTACCACACCATCACACTATGCAATCACTACCTAGGACACTCCAATTGAAGGAGGTAAGCCTGGGTGTGCAGGTTGAAAGCATGACTAAGTTACATTAAGTAGAGAATAAAGAACAAAGTAAAAGCTGGGGCTGTAGCTTAGTTGGCAGATTGCTAGCTCAGTTACGCATGAGACCTTGGGTTTGATCCCAGCACCAGGTAAATTCATAAACTGGGTGTGGTGGCACATGTCTGTAATTCCTGCAGGAAGTGGAAACAGGAAGATCAGAAGTTCAAGATCATCATCTATGTGTGTTTGAGTGTGTGTGTGTGTGTGTGTGTGTGTGTGTGTGTGTGTATGTAAAAAGAGGAGTAGGGGGCTGGAGAGATGGCTCAGCAGTCAAGAGCAGTGACTACTCTTCCAGAGGTCCTGAGTTCAATTCCCAGCAACCACATGGTGGCTCACAGCCATCTGTAATGGGGTCTGATGCCCCCTTCTGATATGTCTGAAGACAGCTACAGTGTACTCGTATACATACAATAAATAAATTTTTAAAGGGGGAGTAGGGAAGGTACAGAAAAGCATGTATGGTATAGTACACCAACACCTATGATAATTAGAAAAACATTCTCTTCGAAGATATCCACATTCTAGGTCCCAGAGTATGTAACTAGATCCTGCCAATTAAAAAATTACCTAGCAAAGGGGAATTAAGGTTATATATGGAATTAAGGTGGCTATCTAACTTAATTAAAGAGAGATTTAGGCAGACATGGTAGTGCATGCCTTTAATCACAGAACTCAGGAGACAGCGGCAGGGTCTCTGTGAATTCCAGGGCATCCTCTGAGAGCTACATAATGAGAGTTTATCTCAAAACAGACAGACAAGTAAATAGGTGAAGAGGTTGGGGGTGGGGACATCCTCTTTGAGACAGGGAGAGGGGAGAGGGGGAGACGAATGGGATGAGGAATTGTAGGAAGGTGGACTGGGAGGAGGGTCACAACTGGACTGTAAAAAAAATAAAAGTAGTAGTAGCAGTAATAGGTGAAGAGGGCAGGCAAAGGTGACTCACACTTGCTTTTGTTTTTTGTTTTTGTTTTACAAGACATGGCTTCACTGTGTTGCCCTGGCTGTTCTAGAACTCACTCTGTAAACCCCTGTCTTGAAAAAGAAAATAAAACAACAACATTTTTAAAAGCAAAGGCGATCCAATGGAGAAAGGATAGTCTTTTCAATAAATAGTTCTGGAGCAATTGAGTATCACAAGGTGGGGGTGGTAACCTTAGACCTTGAAACGGTCTTGAAACAGTCATCAACTTAGCAATATCAAAAACCTCTACAGCGGGGGCTGGAGAGATGGCTCAGAGGTTGAGAGCACTGGCTGCTCTTCCAGAGGTTCTGAGTTCAGTTTCCAGCAACCACATGGTGGCTCACAACCATCTGTAATGAGATCTGATGCCCTCTTCTGGCCTGTAGGCATACATGTAAGCAGAACACTGTGTATATATAATAAATAAATCTTAAAAAAAAAAAAAAAACCACCTCTACAGCTCTAATACGTAGGAAGCCAGGACCTGTAAAGAAATGATTGTCCCAGGTTTTGGGGGAAATACAAGACGAGCCTGGAGCATCTTACCTCACTAGACAGAAAGGAGCTGCTGAAGGCTGTGGAAGTGTGCCGAGGAACGACTTAACCATCGTCAGCTCTCGCTACTCTTACCGAGAATCTGGGATTGATTCCCAGCACCCACATGCTGGCCCACGATACCTGTAACTCCAGGTCCAGGGGAATCAACACCTTCTGTCCCTTGTAGGCACCAGGCTCACATGTAGTACACATACATACGTGCAGGCAAAGCATCCATCCACATGAAATAACTCTGAAAGAAAAAGAAAGTAAGGTTTAGGTGGCACGCACTTGCTGCCTCTGCACTTGGGAGGTAAAGGCCAGAGTTCAGGGGTCAAGGGCAGCCTCGGTTACAGAACAAGTTCAAGGCAAGCCTGGCCTAAAACAAAAAACCAAAAACAGTTTAAAATTGTTTAAATTTGATTTTCTTTTATTTAGTTTGGTGTTTTGCCTGCCAGGGTGTCTGTGTATCACATGCACACTAGGTACCTGTAGAGTCTGGAAGAGGGCATTGGATTCCCTGGAACTGAGTTAGACAGATGTGAGCCACCATCTGAGTGCTGGGATTAGAACCCAGGTCTTCTAGAAGAGCAATCAGTGCTCTAACTGATGAGCCATGTTTCCAGACATGCCCCCCCACAGAAACATTATTAGGTCTTCTTGGATGATTATATTTCTAATGATTTTTTTTGTTTTGTTTTGTGTGCGTGTATAACAGCTCTGCCTCCTGGAACTTGCTCTGTAGAACAGGTTGGCCTGGAACTCACAAAGATCTGCCTGCCTCTGCCTCCCAAGTGCTGGGATTAAAGGCGTGCGATACTGTTCGAGCCCAAGCCACTGCCCCTGCACTCGAGTTTTTTCCCATCGTGATACCACTATCTGGCCATGATTTACTTCTAGTTCTTACTTCTAGGTTTTTGTCTAAGCTATCTGCAAAGGAATTACTTGTCTATGCTGTCCTGTTACTCCTTGTCTGCACACAGCGACTTAAAGTTAGTCTCTCCACTGTGGTCAAGATTTGTCTAATTGTACCCTAGTACTATCCAATGTACCCCTCAACCTCCATGCTCCCCTCAGAATACCTCAATTTGCAACAAGTTATGGGTCTCACCTGTCTTGGTAGAAGACACAAACCCCGAGCTCTCTTCTATCTGTGATGGTTTTAATACCAACCTGCCCAAATTAGAATCACTTGAGTAGAGAGCCTTACCTGAGAAAGAGTCCTTATTACCCTAACAGATGTGAAGTCCTACTCCAAATGTGGATGGCACCTTATGGTAGCACCCCAGATTCAAAAAGGACACAGCAAGAGGAAGGTTGTTTAACTTTTGGTTGCTTGGCCTTTTCTCTTGAAAGGAGTTGATTTCTCTTGCTGCTGCTGCTAGCATTGCCACTGCCGCCGCCACTGCCGCCGCCACCGCCGCCACCGTTGCCACCGCTGCCACCGCCATCACTAGGCTGTCATAACTGAGGACCAGCATTTCTAGTCTTCTGTCACTATGGACCAGCATCTCCCTAGGAACCTTTCAGATGTCAGTCTGAGACAGCCAAGGCACACAGCCTCAAGGAGTGAGCATCTACTGGATATACAGCCTCTCAGATGTGAAGCAGCTGATGTCACTATCTCAGTGTGAACTGGCTTAATATATTCTCTCTCTATATATGTACATATACATATTCCCACCCTATTGGTTCTGTTCCTCTTGAGAACAGTAGTATACATGGTGTTTATCCGCAAGTGCCTTGTACAATGACTTACACTCAGTGGGCACCTATTAGAAATGTGTAAACTGGGCTGTAGAGATGGCTCAGTGGTTAAGAGAACCAACTTAAGAGTACTTAAGTGGTTAAGAGCACTTCTAGAGGTCCTGAGTTCAATTCCCAGCAACCACATGGTGGCTCACAACCATCTGTAATGGGATCTGATGATGCCCTCTTCTGGTGTGTCTGAAGACAGCGACAGTGTACTCATATAAATAATAAAATAAATCTTTAAAAAAAAGAAATGTGTAAACTAATCATGTGTAGAATATACGTACTTGGGGCTAGGAGTGTTACTCAGTGGCATGGCATACGTTTAACATGCATAGGGCACTGGGTCCAATGCCTGAGCACACACACATACAGAATACAATGCCCAGATTCTACCAATGGCTCTTGAAAAGAGAGAAAAGAGAAAGCATACTCAGTTCCACGTCTTTGTTCCCCAGTTCATTTATGAAATTGGGGCAGGTGATCTAATAACAGATTGCAACATAAGCCCGGGAGAGAACAGTTCTTGCTCTCCCTCCCAGAACCCAGCTGTGAGAGGGATGCCTGCAAGTTTTCCAAAATAGCCATCTGTCGTTGAGCAAGCTGAGTCTGGAGCTGGAGGTTGGCATACATGCATTCGAGTAGTCCTAGGCATTCCTTGGGCTTCTGACCAGCTCCTGAAGGAAGTGTTGGGAGATGCAAAGGGACAAAGGAAAGAGGCTTTGTAACTGCAGCAAGTTCGGAGGAACTCCGTAAGAGCACTAGTCTCCCCACTGCAGCCTGACCCAGATGCACATGTGCACAGCACACAGCATTCATCTTCTCAAAGGCTTACCTCCCAATCCTGTCTTAATTTGAAACTAGTCACTGCAGCCCACCCCTCCCTGTTATGCTTCTCCGGTAGTATTTATGGTCATCTGACACCCTCAGTTATAGCCCGTGTCTGTCTAAGTTCCCTGCCCGAGTCAGTGTATCCCACAGGAAGGCACGGACTTTTGCCTCATCTACTTTAGTATCGCCAGTATCTAGAGAAGCCCCTGTACATAAGTATTCAAATCACATTTAAAAAGTCGGACATGGTGGCACATGCCTCCCAGCAGTGGGAGACAGATGCAGGTGGATCTCTTTGAATTCAAGGCAAGCCTGATCTACATAGTGAACTTCCTGGATGGGCAGAGCTGAATAGTGAGACAGAGTCTTAAAAAGAAAACAACAATAAACTTTGGGGCTGGAAAGGTGACTCAGTGGATAAAAGCACTGGCTGCTCTTGCAGAGGTCCAGGGTTCAGTTCCTAGAGCCCAGATGGTGGCTCACAACTGCCTGCAACTCCACTTACAGAGGATCTGATGTCTTCCTCTAGCCTCCACAGACATCACATGCACGCGGTGTACGAACACTCATGTGGTGTGGGCAAAACACTCATATACATAAAAATATATATTTAAAGCTGTTGCAAAAAAGGAGACTGAATTTTGCCTGGGGTTTAGCTATTCTAAGCTACATTCCTTTTTAAAAAATACTTTCTTTCATTTCTTTTTTTTTTCTTCATTTTATTTTATATATATTGTGTTTTGCCTGCATGTACATCTGTGTGAGGATATTGGATCCCCTGGAACCGGAGTTACAGACAGTTGTGAGCTGCCATGTGGGTGTTGGGAACTGAACCCCAGTTCTCTGGTAGGACAGCCAGTGCTCTTAAACACTGAGCCATCTCTCCAGTTGCTTTGGGGAGGGAGATGAGACAGTCTCAAGTAGCCACATACCTCAAGCAGGCCTCCAATCTAAATGAGAATAGCGACCTTTAAAAAAAAAAACTTTTAGTTTGTTTTAGGAGGGTTTTTTGTTGTTGTTGGTTTTTTTTTTTTTTTTTGGTTTTTTTTTTTTTTTTGGTTTTTCGAGACAGGGTTTCTCTGGGTAGCCCTGGCTGTCCTGGAACTAACTCACTCTGTAGACCAGGCTGGCCTCGAACTCAGAAATCCACCTGCCTCTGCCTCCCATGTGCTGGGATTAAAGGCGTGCACCACCACTGCCTGGCTGGTTTTTTTCTTAAGATTTACTTATTTATTTATGGGTATGGGTGTTTCGGCTACATATATGTCTGTGTATCATGTGCATACAGTGCCTGTGGAGGCCAAAAGAGGGTGTTAAATCCTCTGAAACTGGAGTTACAAAATGGGTATTAGCTGCCATGTCAGGTCTAGGAATTGAGCCCCAGCCAGTGCTGCCACCCACTGAGCCCTCTCTCCAGCTCCAGCTCTGAGGCCAGCCTTCTTGTGCTACTCTCTTCCATGTGCTGGCCTAACAAGTGTGTGTCACATTTGACTACCAAAGTTTTTTTTTTTTTTAATGTTTTGTTGTTCCTGTTTTTGTTTTTAGATTTTTTTTTATTTTATGTGTTTGAGTGTTTTACTGCATGTATGTCTCTCTGTGTACCATGTCCATGTCTGATGGTCAACGAGGTCAGAAGAGGACTTTGAATCTCCTGGCACTGGAGTTACGGATGGTTGTGTGCCACTTGTAGGTGCTGGAAACCTAACCCAGGTCCACTGCAAGAACAATAAATGCTGTTTTCTTGATATTTTTTGTTGTTTGTTTTTGGTTTTCAAACAGGGTTTTCTCTGTCTAGCCCTGTCCATCCTGGAACTTGCTTTGTAGACCAGGCTGGCCTTGAACTCAGAAATTCACCTGCCTCTGCCTCCGAAATGCTGGGATTAAAGGTGTGTACCACCACCACCCAACGCTTGTTTTCTTTTTAAGACAGGGTCTCTCACTATGTATCTTTGGGTGGCCTGGAATTCAATATGTAGACCAGGCTAGACTTGAACTTAAGACATCCACTTAAATGAAAACGGAACAGAGCCAGGCATGACACTGTGCGCCTGTCGTCCTTGTGCTCGGAATGATGTAAGTCAGGAGGCAAGTCTGAGTTCTTGAGAGAGTTCCAGGCTATAGAATAACTCAAAACAACAACAACAAAATAAGAAAAAAAATGGAGTCAGGGTCTCATATAGCCCATGCTGGCCTTGAGCACTCTACAGAGTTGAGGATAACCTTGAGCTCTTTCTGACCCTCCTGCCTCCACATCCCAAGCATATGCCACTGTATCCCGTTTATGTGGCACTGGCCTTGTGCACATCAGGTAAGCACTCTACCAGCTCAGCTAGACTCCCAGCCTGAAAAACGTGGCTGGGTCTGCTTGTGAAGCCTTCCCCACAGCCTTACCTGAAGGCAGCTTTGTTGTCTGGATGTTCAAGAAAGTAGCTGGCGTTGAATTTGCTTGAAGATTAATGTAACTGGGGGAGGGTTTTGCTCGACAAAGACACACAACGTTATCTTCCTCTTTGGCTGAAAATCAGGTGACTGAATCACAACTCATTCTAACAAGGGTTAGCCTGCCTTCCCCTGCCCTATTTCTCTTGCTCTTTCTCCTCTTTTCATAGTAAGTCAATGACCCAGGCTGGCCTTGAACCTAAGCTCCTCTTGCCCCAGCCTCTCAAATGTGGGATTGCAGGAGTAAGACTATCTTTCAAATTAAATCACTGGCCTATGAAAGCGGATGCCAGGGCCCCACCCAAGAATCTTATGTATCAGGAAGACATACATAGAAAAGATACAAAAAACAGAAACCAATGTGAGTTAGGGGAAGCCAGGAAGGGTAGGCATAAAATCTAATATTCTTCCTTGATATGCACTGCATGCTTACTACTGTACTAGACGCTGAGAAATACATGAAACACATGTACAACATAATTTCTTAACAGCTCATTATCAATTTAGGGAGACAAATTGAGTCGGATGAAACATTATCTTTAGGCACAATGGTGACATGTGTAATCCCAGCACTTAGATGCAGGAGAGAGGATCAGAAGTTCAACCCAGCTACACAAGCACCAGAGCAGCCTGGGTTACATGAGACTGTCTCTGGACAACTAAATGAATCAGCAGAGTCGTAATACCTGGATAAAAGTAAAGTTTTATTGGGGTTATGAGTGAGCATACGCAGCTAAGGCCAAGTGTGAGGTTAAGTGTAAGAGTGTAAAGGGGGGGATTAAAATGAGCATAGAGTTTAGCGGAGACGCTGTGTGAGGACATTCACTGGACTCTGAAGACCTGGAAAGCTTTTAAGGAGCAGAATAGGAGAAAGGATAACATAACATGAACACTGGCAACAGGGCAAGAGTAAGGCTGGAGGGTGAGAAGCCCTGGAAACTGCCAGTCAGGGCAGGAGGAAGAGAAAGGGGAGGGGTCCATCGTCTTTGGCGTGAGGTTGAGCCATGGAAGCCTCTCTCCATAACCACATCTGGGATGTTTAAGCTTTCTTTTAACATAATGCCCCCTTCACCTCTAAGGGTTAGAAATAGGACTGAGCTGGGATGCCAGGGCAGCCTTTCCTCCTAACACCCAGAAGGCAGAGGTCGTTGATATCTGGGAACACGCCACAGCACTCAAGCCCTTCTCACCACTAAGAACTAGCCGTGTCCCAGACTGGCCAGTAGCACACAGTGACACCCTGACTAAAGGGGACTATGAACTGGTTGCTAACACTTAAGATTTGTATTTCAAGAGCTGGAGATGTGGCTGAACAGTTAAGAGAGCAAGCATGCTGCTCTTGCAAAGAACCAGGGTTTGTTCCCACCACCCACTCCAGGCAGCTCACAACCACTTGTAACTCCAGCTCCTGGTGATCCATATAGCAAAGCCCAGGCCAACCAAGGCTACAAAGTGAGAACCTGTCTCAAAAAAAGAGGGGAAGGATTAAAATGTCCTTCTTCTTGGTGCTGGAGAGACGGCTCAGTGGTTAAGAGCACTGACTGCTCTTCCAGAGGATCTGGGTTCAATTCCCAGCAACCATATAGTAGTTCACAGCCATATGTAATGGGATCTGATGCCCTCTTCTGGTATGCCTGAAGACATCATGACAGTGTAGTCACATATAAATAAATAAATTTTAAAAAGCATCCTTTTCTTTATACATATTAAATATAATGAGTTGCACATGGGAAAGTTTTCGTTGTTTGTTTTGGTTTTTGGATTTTTTTTTTCTGGGACAGAGTCTTGCTATGTAACTGAGGCTGGCTTAGTACTTTCTATATAACTTTGAACTTATGACAATCCAGATGCCTCCCAAGTTTCGGTATTCTAAGAATGAGTCACACCTGGCTTTGGAAGAGATTCTGAAATTGGTAACTATGTTGCTTTTGGGAAAAAGTCAAATCAGGAGGAAAAACCAATTCTGAGGAGGTGGTGAGTCGCATCCCAGACATCTGTTCTTATCTACTGAGTAATTGTCCTCTGAGAAATTATTTTCTCCGCAGATCCCAGGTGGACTGCTGAGACACCACTCACACTCTTCACCACTACGAACAGGCTGTGTCCCAGCACAGGCCAGTCTTGCCCTCTCTGCAACTGTGCTGGCCATCTGGAGAAGCATACGGACAGTAAGTTGGGCCAGTCAAGTCACAGGATCAGCAAATGAACAATGACGTGTGTCAAAGCTTTCTTAGCTCAACATGGTAGCATGTCCACCTATAATCCTAACACTTGGGAAGCAGAGAGGACTGCAAGTTTCAGGCCAACCTGGGCTACAGGTTAAGACTGTCTCAATAAACAAGCAAAGGCAAAACCCACAAAGACAAAACTGACTCTCTTTGGTTTGCTGTGCTGGGAGGACATAAAACTGGGCCCAGTGGAAGCTACTGAACTTGGCCAGCATACCATAAGAACTGGGTGTAAGTAAGCCAGCCACAGGGGAAGAGGAGGATGGATAGACAAATGGAGAGATTCCAACACTCAGAATTTGCAGTCCCAACCCAGATGCTCCAGACTCCGCAGGTCTTGAGCGCTCAGGACCCAGCTGCACAAGCCCCTAAACTCCCACTTGTGCTCAAGGCAGTCCGAGGTGGGGTCCTCTCATCTAATGGTAATCGAATTGCAGATGAACTAAGGGGTCTAAGGTGAAGGTAGGAAATCAAACAGGAGATAAGAACAAGAGGTGGCTTAAATTTGGGTGGCAGGTCAAGCTGCTAGCCAGCCTCAGAAAGGGAATAGAAAGCTACAAAAATAAAAGCTGGACAGTGGTGGCACAGCCTTTAATCCCAGCACTTGGGAGGCAGAGTGGAGCTCTGTGAGTTCGGGGCCAGCTTGGTATACATAGTAAGTTTCAGGTCAGCCAGAACTACACAGATAAATCCTGTCTTGTACACTCTATCACCTCCCCACCCACCCCCCAAAAAGAAAGAAAACAAAGTTAGCTTCCTATAAAAAGAAAGAAAGGAAGGAAGGAAGAAAAGAAGGAAGAAAGAAAGGAAAGAAAGAAAATTGGGCTTCTGAGTAACTCCTCTAGCATCTGAAGGATGAAAAGAGCAGACAGAAGAGCAATGAATGGCAAGTGGAAAAGCTGGGACCATGAGACAGTGTAACCAAAAAAGACAAGAGAGATGGAGATAAGGGGCTCACTGGCCGTTCGCCCACCACGCACAACGACAACTTTGATCCCCAGAACACATAGGTAAAGTGGATCTGGAGTTCCTTGAATCCTTGTCTACATTGTGAGTTCAAGGCTATGGGACTGTGGAAGGAAGAGGAAGAGAAAGCAACCTCATCATCGTCAAGAAAGGGGCTAGCAAAGCCAATGCTACAGAATGAGACCCTCTTTGGAAAGGAACAAAAGGGACTGGCAAGATGGCTCAGAGGGTGAAAGCAATTGCAGCCAAGCCTAAGGACTTTAGTTCAATCCCCAAACCCATCTGAAAAGAGAGAACCAGTTCCAGCAGGTTGACCTCTGGCATGCACATACACACGTGACATGCACTTCCTCACTAGCTCAGGAGTAGGCACAACAAAGAAACATGATAATAATTTTTTAAGATCAAGTAAGGATGGAGCTAGGGGTTTAGATCAATGGTAGAGCATTTATCTAACTTGTGTAAGACCCTGGGTTTGATCCCCAGCACCAAGGGGAGAAAGGACAGAAAAATTAATCCATTCATTTATACACGTAAAAGATACCCAAGTGCCTTTGTGACACTGGAACTGGGGAAAATGTCCTGAGGAATTACCTCAGACAGGGTCAGATGATAAAGAAAAGCCTTTTGTTATAAAACAAGGTTGGAGGTGGGGGCTGGAAAGATGGTTCAAAGGTTAAGAGTTGAATCCAGAGTGAATTCCAGAGTTGAATCCCCAACCACCACATGGTGGCTCATAACCATCTGTAATGAGATCTGGTGCCCTCTTCTGGCCTGCAGGCATGCATGCCTGCAGAGTCCTACATGAATAAATAAATCAATCTAAAAACAAAATGATAAAAGAAAAGAAAACAAGCCTGGGGACTGACGTGTTGCAGGAGCTCACCCCCTGAGACAGGGTCTCACGTAGCTGGTCTTGTACTCCTGGACCCTCCAGTCTCCACTTCCCAAGTGCTGGGATTACAGGTGTGTGCCACACGCCTGCCGAGTAATGTTCATTTCACATATGCATGTGAAGCTGGGCACTGTCTGCACATCACTGATTGTATAAAACGGAGGTGGGCTCGCTGATCCGTCAGCTGCCCTTTTTGTTTGTTTTTTGAGACAGGGTTTCTCTGTTGTACTCCTGTTGGTCCTGAAACTCACTCTGTAGACCAGGCTGGCCTCAAACTCACCTCTGTCTCCCCAAGAGCTGGGATTAAAAGCATCACTGCCTGGGCTCTTTTTTGAAAATCAAATCTTTTATTAAGTTTTAAAAAATATTGCTGAGTGTTTTGCCTGTATGTATAAATGTGTGCTACATCATGCCTGGTGTGGTTAGAGGCCAGAAGAAAGCACTGGATTCTCCTGGAAGTGGAGTTACAGACCTCTTTGAGCTGCCATGTGGGTGCTGGGAAATGAACCCCAATCCTCTGAAAGAGCTGCCAGTGCTCTTGACTGCTGAGCCATCTCTCTGACACAGGGTCTGGAGATGTAGTCCTGGCTGGCCTGACCTCACTATATATCCCAGGCTGTCTTTGAACCTATAACTGTCCTCTTGCCCCTGCTTCTTAAGTGCTGATACTACAGGTATGAAATACCACACATATACGTATTTTTTTAAGACAGGGTCTGTGTATTTTAGGCTGCTCTGGAATTTGCAGCAAGCCTCAGACTTCTGAGGGCTAGGTTTACAGATGAGGGTCACCATGTTCAGCCTCTGATACATGTGTATGTATCATACATATACACACATATTTCTTCTGTGTGTGCTTGTATATGTGAATGTATGTGCAAGCCGGAGGTCTACATCAGGTATCTTCCTCAATTGCTCTCCATTTACTTAATTTCGTGTGTATGGTACTCTTGGAGGCCAGATGAGGGTATCAGATACTCTGAAACTGGAGTTACAGACAGTTGTGAGCTGCCATGTTGGGGTACTGGGAATTGATCCTGTGTCCTCTGAAAGAGTAGCCAGTGCTCTTAGCCATCTCTCCTGCCCCTGCCACTTTATTTTTCACTCCTTTTTTGTTTTTTTTTTGGGGGGGGGTCAGAGTTTTCTATGTAGCCCCTGATGTTCTGGAACTCACCACACCAGCCTTGCAGTATTTTTTTTGAGATAGGGTCTCTCACCAAACTTGGAACTTATCAACTAGACTGTCTAAGAGCCTCCAGGGATCTACCTGTCTCCTCTACGTCCCCTGCCTCCATAAGTACTGGAGATACAGACAAATACCCCCACTTCTAGCTTTTTATATGACTTACAGGATCCAAACTCAGATCCTCATGTATGCATAACAAGGACTTTACCCACTGAGCTACCTCCACAGTGTCCCGACATATCTTTTACAATGGTCCTAGGTAGTAGACAGTATTAGCAGCATTGTACTTGAGGACTCCCATATTAATAAAATTTGGTCGGGATTCCACAAATGGCACATGGCAGAGCTCTAATTAAACCAGGGTCTCTAGACAGCAAAGCTGTGTGCTACATACTGACCCTTTACAAGTGCTATAAAAATAACTCATCAAACCCAGGTGTGGTAGGTAGTACATGCCTGTCAAGTCAGCAGCTGGGCAGGCTGTGGCAGGACTGTTTTGAGTTTGAGGCCACGTTGGTCTATATAACAACTCTTTTTAAAGAGAAGAAAAGAAGGAAAGAGAAAAGATAAGGAAAGTTAGTCGAGGTAGGCCATACCTATAATCCTTGGGATGTGGTTGCCCTGGCAAGGGGGTTGTCTCAAGTTTGAGGGTAGTGAGTTCCATGGCCAGCAAAGCTAGACCTGTCTCCTTTACCCAAAAAATCCCACAAGTACTTTCCAAGTAACCAAGTAGCAGGCAAAGCCAGTCATTTCTGCAAACATTCAGTAAATCAGGAAGGCTGTGACACACCTTTTTCCTTAGTAGTGTTACAAGTGTGTTGCTCCATCTCAACAGCAACAGGTATGGTGCCTGGGAAAGAATAATAGGATCACATGGTCAAACAACAGTGTTTTGTTTTGTTTTGTAAGCACTCCCCCAAAGATCCAAGTTGGCTAGAACTGTTCTAATTTAGGGAGGCACAAGTGTAACAATGTATACTATCTCATAGAGGTGTCTGTTTTTAAATTTAATTTTTTTTTAGTTTTTAGTTATGTGTATGTGTACATATATAAGTAGACCTCCCTCGAGTTAGAAGTGGCTGTGAGCAGCCAGACATCAGTGCAGGGAACTGAGCTGAGGTTGTCTGCAAGAGCAATATACCCTCATAACCCACTGATCCTTCCCTCTGGGCTGCCTCCCTTATGTGGTCCAGGGAAACTAAAGCCATTGAAACCGCTATCCTGCCAATCCCAGCACTTGGAAGGCAGAGGCAGGCGTATTTCTGAGTTCGAGGCCAGCCTGGTCTACCGAGTGAGTTCCAGGACAGCCAGGGCTACACAGAGAAACCCGTCTCGAAGGAAAAAAAAAAAAAAGAGAGAGAGAGAGAGAGAAATCGCTATCCTCCTGACTCAGCCTCTGGAGCTCATTACAGGAGTGTGCTACCACTCCAGGCAAACAACTGTTTTGAAACTGTCCATTTTTCTCCAATTCCCTTCGGCAGAGTTGTTAGTGTCTTTTCACTGAAGAAGACAAAATATACCAAATATGAACTTTAAGTCTATCACAAACATGTCATGACACCTTGAGTCTTCTAAGTGTTTAATTACTAGCCTTGTTTTTTCTGTTTTTGTTTTGTTTTGTTTTTTTTCCTATATGAGGTGATCTGGCAAGAGGGTTGTCTCCAGTTTGAGGCCAGCCTGGGCTATACAACGAGTTTTACACGACATGGCCAGCCATGGAACTCTACTAAGATAATATGATAATTTTAAAAACTTTAGCTCCCTTTCCTTTGTCACTATCAGTGTTCAGGTTGTGCAGTGGGGGAGAAAGGTTCAAAACACTGCAAGAAACATGACTTAGGATATTCGGGGGGAAATGTAACCGATCCTCCTTTACAACTTATTGCTTTAGATTAAAAGTATTTTTCTAAGAAGTAAAACATTAGGACAGATGAGATAGCTCAACAGTTAAGAGCACTAGATGGTCCGGCAAGGGCCACTGGTTTACTTTCCAGCACCCACGTGGTGATTCACAATCATCAATTCCAGTTCCAGAGGATCAGACTCCCTCTTGATCTCCTCTAGCAAATGGTGCACCTACATACGCATAGGCAAAACAACCAAACACATAAAAAATAAAAAATAGGTACATCTAAAAAACAAAGAGTTTTCTTTCTTCTTTTTTCTTTCTTTCTTTTTTTTTTTTTAAAGAAAACCAGCGCGTCTAGAGGAGTAAACCACAACTCCCAGCATGCCCCGGGGGGAAGCCGTTGCCGCCCCACCCCGTAGGATAACTTCCACTTCTACAGTGCTTCAATCTTTCTAGCCACGACCGGTATTTCCGGCTCCTTTGCTCCTCCCTACTGCTAAAGTGGAAAAAAAGATGGAGAACTATCATGCCTTTCTTGGCCTTCACGGTCGGACGAGAACTGATGGACAAAACAGAGCTTCATGATCTCACCTACAGCATTAATCCAAAGCCTCAACCCCAGCTCCCACCCTCTAGTGGGCACTCATGCGCTGTAGCGAGCCAGCTAACCGCCCGTGCCTTGGCGCTTGCGCAGACATTCTGTCCGCACGCGGCCGGGAGCGGCCACGCTAGTGCGCAAGCGCTTGCGTCTCCCCGTCACCCCCATCATGCCCTCTCTATCTAACTTGCATTGCCTTTCTTGCGTAGAGGGCGGGGCTAATGCTGACGATTGGCCTATGTTTATGCCAATCAATGAAATGAGTTTAGTGATTGGCCTTACTTCAGAGGTTAGCACGTTTCTGTGTCAGACCTGAGGAGGCAGCGTTTTCTTCGCTGCTCTTCTCTCCAGAAGGTTCTGCCGATTCCCCCTAGCTCTGGATAGTCGGCTCTGCGTCGTGCCGCCATGATGGGCCACCGTCCAGTGCTCGTGCTCAGTGAGTTCAGGGAAGCGATGGCTCCCTCCGCCCCTCTCTCCCTACGCTGGCCAGTGTTGCCCAGCTCCGTCCCGCCATGACTCGGCCCTCGTGCCTTCCTGTGGTCTTTTCGCCTTGGAAGCTCCTTCCCCACTTTTCTTCTCCTGCCTTCTCCTGTCGCCCTCTTTTGACAAAATGACTTTCCGCTCTCGGAGTCGCTGGTCTTTACGTGTGCTTCATCCTATTCGTGTTCCGTTCTTTAGTCGCCACCCTCCACGCCCCCGTGTCCTTTACAGCATGATTTCCGTCATGTGGTTAGTAATAATGGTTCTTAACGTTAGGCCTTGCTTCGTGTCCTCGGTCCATCCCTTAGTAGAGGTGTGACTTACGGCAACTCCCTTGATTTATGCTTTAACATCAGTATTTGGGAGGCTGCAGTAGTTCTTTAAAGTATTGATAGTTAAGTTGGTAAGTAAAACTGCCGTTACAGGTAGATCGGAAGTGGCATCTTTTCAGTATCGGTCATTCAGCAACCATTGTTCTGAAATGACATTCCTTGCGTTCCCAATCTTGGATGTGGTCTTTCCCTACATCCAGTTAAGTTCTCCCAGATTCCTCTCGTGGTTTTCTTTCCTCTTTAGGAAACGCCACTCATCTTAGTAAAGAGATAAAGAGCACCAGTTCCTTGTCAGTTACCTGAGCTATTGAGAATAACTCAGTAAGCCAGGTTCAAAGTTAGACATAGTAAAGAGAAAAACAGATTTAGTATGGCCACACTGGGAGGAGAGACAAAGGGGTTCAGTGACACTACCCCTCCTACCTACACATAGCCGAATCCATGCGGTTTTAAGTAGCAGGCTGGAGGCATAAGAAGTCATTTTCTGCTCTTGTCTCCTGAGAAAAGTTTACCTACAGACTGGCTCTCAGGCTTTAGTCTTTTTCCTATTCTATCGTGAGATTCCTTGGAAATTATCTATTAGTCTTTTTTTAAAAAACTATAAAAAAATTATAGTTTTTTTGTTTTTGTCTATGTATATGAGTGTTTTGCCTGAATGTATGTCTGTACACCTGTGGAGGCCAGAAGAGGGCATCAGCATCACCTGGAACTGGAGTTACAGGCCACAGTTGGGGGCTGGGAATTGACGCTGAACCATCTTTCCAGCTCACAAGCAGACTTTCTTGGTCACTAGTCTTCCCAGCGAGGTTGTAAAGGATGTGCCCTCTTGAGAAAAATCCCCATCCTATTGAGGCCCATTCAGGGATCTCAAGATATGAGTCACTGGAAATATGTGAGCATGCATACAAGAAAAGTATTGGTCAGGATTCTGAAGTTGAAGCATTTCAGGTTATCTATGAATGTACTGGGGGTTCTCTTCATTCTGTGTGTATCTTTCCTGCATGTATGTCTGTGCCTGCAGACACCAGAAGAGGACATCACATCCCCTGGAACTGTAGTTATAGATGATTGTGAGCTGCCATTTTGGTGCTGGAAACAGAACCAGAGTTCTCTGCAAGAGAGAACTTCCAATGCTTTTAACTACTGAGCCATCTCTTCAGCCCTTAAACATGCTTTTTGAGACAGGATCTCACTTTGTAACTCTGGTTGACCAAGTTGGTCTTCAGTTCACAGAAATCCATCTCCAGTGCTCAGATTAAAAGCATATGCTACCATGCTCAACCTTAAACAGTTGTAATTGACTCCTGGTTATACACTAAAAACTTTGTATTTATTTATTATTTGTTTGTTTGTTTTGTTTTTTTGAGACAGGGTTTCTCTGATAATCCTGGCTGTCCTGGAACTCACTCTGTAGATGAGGCTGGCCTTGAACTCAGTAATCCGCCTGCCTCTGCCTCCCAAGTGCTGGGATTAAAGGCGTGCGCCACCACTGTCCAGCTAATTTTTATTTTCAAAACTTGGTGGTAGGATGGCTTGGCAGGTTAAAAAAGCACCTGCCACTAAGCCTAATAATAACTGGAGGTCTTTTTGCTGTTTTGTTTGTTTGTTCCATCTGAGGCAGGTTCTCTGTATAGACCAGGCTGGCTTCAAGTCACAGAGATCCTCCTGACTCTGCCTTCTAAGTGCTGGGTTCAAATGCGCCACCATACCTAACTTGGATGACCAAGTTTAATCTCTGGCACCCATGTCATAGAAAGAGAATTAACTCCTGAAAGTTGTTTTCTGACCTCCACAGTTGTGCCAAGCATTTGTACACCTGATATATACATAGATACATAAAATGTAAACATTTTCTTTAAGTTAGGAAATGAAATGATAGTGTACACTGGGCTGTTGACACGTGTTTTTGTCTGTTTTAGGTCAGAATACAAAGCGTGAGTCTGGAAGAAAAGTTCAATCTGGAAATATCAATGCTGCAAAGGTAGTACATGTTTTAAGAGATAATAGCAGTTTGTTCTGGATGACTCCCCTAATACTTCTTTATTTGTAATAGTAAACTTCCTATGATTCTGTGTGTCATACAATTGAGCAAAGGAAAACTTGGCTTTTCCAAGGCATTTCCCTGATGGTGATACAGGAAGGGAGGTTTTTAAAGATTTACCTATTTTACTTTATTGTTTGAGTGTTTTGCCTCCGTGCATGTATGTGTGTGCCATGTGCATGCTTGGTGCACAAGAAGCCTAGAAGAGGTTGTCAGATTCCTCTGGAACTGGAGTTACGGGCCATTGTGAAAGTTACCGTGTAGGTGATAGAAATTTAATCTAGGTCCTTTGCAAGAGGCTTGTCCCCTCTTTAGAGACAGGATCTTGTCTGAGTAGCCTAGAATTTGCTATGTACACCAGGCTGTCCTTGACTCATGGATCTGCTTGCCTTTGTTTCCCAAATCCTGGGATTAAAATCATGCCACCACTCTGAACTCAGTAAATATATATTTTTTGGGGGGGGGGGTTGGTTTTTCGAGACAGGGTTTCTCTGTGTAGCCCTGGCTGTCCTGGAACTCACTCTATAGATCAGGCTAGCCTCAAACTCAGAAATCCGCCTGCCTCTGTCTCCCAAGTGCTGGGATTAAAGGCGTAAATATATTTTTGAGTGAATGATTAGAAGACTTGATTTCATGTGACCTAGAGGCCACTGTCAGTTAAAATATCAAGGTTGGATGGACTCTTAGGACACTAAAACTGCTGAAGTAGATTCTTTGTGAAAATTCATTTATTATGGTATCTAAAATAGTCCCCATTCTCGTCGTTAGGTACTATCGTTAAACTCCGACTCTGGTTGGAGAGGTGGCTCAACAGGAGAGCGTTTGCTACTCTTTTTTTTTTTTTTTTTTTTAAGAATTCTAATTTACTTATTTTATGTTAGTACACTGTCGCTATCATCAGACACACCAGAAGAGGGCATCAGACCCCATTGCAGATAGCCACCATGTGGTTTCTGGGAATTGAACTCAGGACCTCTGGAAGAGCAGTCAGTGCTCTTAACTGCTGAGCCACCTCTCCAGCTCTAAGCACTTGCTACTCTTGCAGAAAACGTAGATTGGATTCCCCAGACCCGGGTGGTGGCTCACAACCTCCTGAAACTCCAGTTCTAGGGTATCCAAGATGCTCTTGCGGCCTCTGGTCACCAGGCATGCATCTGAAGCACAAACATGTATTTGAGCAAATACTCATATCCATAAAAATAAATCTTTAGAACACTGGCTATGCACTGGGCATGGTGGAACATGCCTTTAATCCTATCATTGAGAATCAGAAGCAAGGCTATCTCTTGAGTTCAAGGCCAGTCAGAGCTACCTAGTGAGACAGTGGTTCTGTTTGTGGTTCTTCGGAACGCTCACATTATTCTCTGACTATGCTGCTTGTTTTGTGTTTCCTTACCAACAGACAATTGCAGACATCATCCGGACCTGTTTGGGACCTAAATCTATGATGAAGGTTGGACTACCTTTTATTGGAATTCAAGCTGTGTCCTCCTTTTTTGTTATCTATAACACTTTTGGTTTTTCTTAGATGCTTTTGGACCCAATGGGAGGCATCGTGATGACCAATGACGGCAATGCCATTCTTCGAGAGGTGTGTTTCATTTTGATTTTGTTGTTGTTTTGTTTTCTCACCTCCTTTTCTAACAGCCTTACAAATACCAAGAGCCTATTCAAATACATGTAGTTAATCTTGGCATAGTGTTCTATGCCTCTAATCCCAGCACTTTAGTACCAGAGAGAAGGAGGATCATGAGTTCGAGATCATCCTGGGCCAAATAAAATAACTCTATCTGAAATCCAAGGGTTATCAAGGCATGATGGCAGTGTGCCTCTAATCTCAGTATTTAGGAGGTAAAGGTAGGAGGATGAGGGATTTGAGGTTAATCTTGTGGGTTCAGGGCCTCTGAGTACTGGGATTATAGATTTGGAACATTGTGCCTGGCTAGTCTGCTATGGTTGTCTCAAAACAGAAACTCCAGATGTGGTACATGCCTGTTATCTCAGCATTAATGCAGAAGAGTTAAAATTGGAGAACAGTCTGACCTTATCTCACAGACGGAGGCTAGAAGATACACTTCTGTGTTAGAGTGCATCTTTCTCAATCATAAGGACTTAGATTCAATTCCCAGCACCACAAAATAAGGGGATGCTCTAGAAACTTAATTTTCTCATGAACTGAAGTTGTAAATCTGATATCGAGGTTTCAGTAGGGCCTAGTCCTGAAGACTAAGCAAGAATCTCTTGTTTCTTATACCTTTTAATAATGTTTCTCACTCCTTTCTGTTGTAAGTGCAGGGTCTTTATTTCCATTGCATG